CTTATGCTCAATTTCTCATGCTGTGCTGCTTTTTCCACAAACTGCTCTGTTTTTGCAGCATCACCTCACTTGCAGCTCCTGGGATTGTCATCCCTTCATGTGACCACACTTTACTTTCTTCATAGATGTGCCAACCCTGTTCTTTACTGCTGTGGCCATCGTCCATGTTATATGCTATAAAGTGCAGGCTTGTGAGCTACTTCAGATCCTTTGTTAGCTGATCAGGAGTCAAATCCACTAATGATGCAGAAGAACAATGAGGACTTTGGGAGGACGCTGAAGGGGAGCTTGATATTTTTCTGCATGCGTGCGTTTCATGTACTTTCTGCCAGAGGAGTGGGTGGCAGGGTTGGAGAGTCAGCTTGCCAACCCCCTGCTCTCTACTAAAGCAGAAAATCCATGAAATTAACATTTTTAGTTCCCATCACACAATCCATTTCATTCTACAGTCTCTCTCACACTCTTTGTCTGTCTTTTTCCGCTGTCTAGATTAATGTCCATCTTCACAAACAACATCTTACACTATCGTTGTAGTGATTAGAGAAAATGAAGCACAAGAGTTCTAGTATTCATTCATGAAGTGCCTCGTTTGACCCCGGTTCCACTGAAACATAATCCATTTCCCTTTGCCTCCTGTATTGTTCTTATCTTATGTTAAAATCTTCAAAGAGGAAAAAAACATATAGCTATTTGTTCTTTAAAATTGTGCTCACTGCCACCTGGGGGCAATGAAACAAGCTGTTGAAACAACACTGACATATCACCTTTTAAAGCTGTTAAACCCAGTGTGTGGAAAGTGCAGTAGTTTATTTGCACATCCAACTGAAACAGAGAAACTCTAGCACTCATTTGGAGTAATGTTTCTGAACATAAGCCCAATATTCATTCTCCTTTTAGCTTGTTTTTGGTCTCCACCAACTCCTGAGGGTAATATTTGGTTCTTTAGTTGCTAAATGCTCTGCTGTGTTCACCAGCTAGTCTCTAACTTTATCTGTCTGCTGTTTCAAGCTGAGCTGGCAGCGTACAGTTGGATTTTTTTTCACAGAAAACAGCTGCTTGCTCTGACTGAAAACATCAGTAGTGAGAGCTGTGAGAGTGAACATAAGCAGTAAAGCTGTGGGCCAAAAAGCCCCCCAAAAAAGGAAATGTAATATTGATTTCAGCTTTAAAATTTTGCTGCTCACCTCTGTAAAACAATGTTTTTTTAGTTATATTGTCCATTCCATCTGTTTTTGATGCTGTACAAACTGAAGCATAGTGAATGAAACAAAGAGATAGATTATAATGCCACTTAGGGAAGGAAGGCTGAAAAAGGTACAAAAAAAACAACAACAAATGGGACATAGTGATGGTTCTGTTCCAATACCATAATCCTATTAGTTCCCAGAGCAGCCAATCCAAGATGCTAACAGCCACAATTTACCCTTTGAAAACCATCACTTAATCACTACAGCTGTGTCAAGTCTCAGCCAATCCAGGCAGCTGTGAAGGATCAGCCTGACCTGTTCAGCGAGGCATTCATCACTGCGACTCTACTCAGGGGAAGGATTTGGATGGAAAGGAGACGGAGGCAATGAAAAGAAGGCAGAGGGACAAACACATCTGTGAAAATGGTTTCCATTCTACTCACAAACAAGTACATCTGTTGGGTGGTGGATATTTACTTGGTTCAAATTATGTACAAGTCTCCTAAGATTTAGAATAGGAACATCTTAAACATGCATGCAGTAAGTTAAGGACCACAGCTGACAGACAAAAACATAATCAAATTTACAATACCTGCTTCTTGGAAAGAATCTTTCAATAACAAATGGTTAAAGAGCCAAATCACTGAATGTGAGCAATATTTGTGCAATTCATCTTTAGCAGGCCAAATGTGTAAAAACTAAATGGAGGATGTGTGAACAGAGTTGGTTTCTATTTTTATTATCTGTTATTTCTCCACGTTTTGACTGCACAATGGAAACCTCTTCCCTCTCTTTAACACTGTCATAACTGCTGCATCACCGAACGATTAAATCCTCTCCAAGTCTGGCTGACGCAGAGAAAACATGAGAAGACGTGGGAAGAGGAAGGTGGTGTGCTGAACCTGTCATCAGACCTTTGCATACTTCAGATGTGGAATGTGGAACTTCCTCTCTCTGTCTGTTTTTGTGGCTCCTTACAGGATTTCCTGTGGAGGTCGAAGGTCAAACCTACTGTGAAGTTGATCTGGGATATTCTCAGTGTATACCAAACCACAGTGGCTAGACCATTCCTATCTTGACCTCTGTATCCTTAAAGAATGCCTCCCTGATGAGCTGTTCTTACTGGTAGCTGGAGAATTTTATAAGAGTCAATTTCAGTCCTTGAGTTTATCACGTCACACAGCTGAACTAAGACACTGAAAATTCCTATGAGTGCTCTTTAAAAGATAACAGAAACAAAGGAAATTGGCCACTTCATGATCTGAAAGGTTTGTCTTTCAAATGTACAAGAGCAGGCAAAACTCTAAACTATAGTTTAGAAATGTATATGTTCTGTAGATCCCTTATTTTTACTTTACTTACATTTTTGGTGCAGCTGCTGTTTTACAAGAGGGTGTCATGATGGTTTATACACAGCAGATAAAGTGACTAATGATGACTTTACATTCACATCTGGTGCCTTAATTTTTCTCCTTTAAGGGCAGAGACACACAAAGCTGACATGAAAGAACTAGCGGCGACATAGGCCGACTGTTGCGTCACCTCACATCACCTGGGCCAGTTGGGTTGAGAAAGTGGCACTTGAACACACCGCACAGACCACAGCCAACAGTTAACTAGCACATTTGTTCTGCGCCTGTGTGGCAGAAATAACTACCAGCAGTTGCTGGCATCTGTATTCACCATTCAGAAAGGGAAAGAAGAAGACCTAGACTGCAGATAAGAAGTTGCAAATGGCACTGCCGTTCTCTGCCCTTGGTCATTTGGTTGTGGAAGAAGAAAGGAGGTTGTGGAGACAAAAAACAGGGAGAAACTGCACTGAATGTGTGAAATTGTGGATACTAAAGTGACAGGCCGAAGGGGCTTTCCCAAACTGTTCTCTTTTCATGCCTCAATTTGCTAAGCTGAACAGCCAATAAGAGTGTTCTCTCTCGCCGACAAGGTTCACCGCCAATTCGACATGCTGAATCAGCTGAAAAGCCACTAAGCGGGTCCTACTAGTGCCAACGTTGTAGGACACACCACAAAGACGAGGTCAACAGACACTCACAGATGGACCAACAGTGGTCGATGGCTGACCATTGGCACGGTGTGAGCCATTTAGTCATGCAGAACCCCAGTCACTCACTGTAATATGTAATCTCAACATGTTTAGTCTATGTCTCTCTGATTTAAAAAGCCCTGCATCCGGCTCCTCTCTTTCCTCTGATTCTCATAGGTCTCCCATGCTCTAGAAACTCCTTCTGCTCCGATCTCCTCTTTTACAACATGGTGTGAATTTCATCACTTAAAGTCGTGATAATAAGTATTATAAATTCAGACTAACAAGTTTCAGCAGCATAGTCATCCATATGGCTGAACGCCCATGTCAGTCACATGTGTTCACATCATTTAACATGTTTACATTACATTATTGTGATAATTACCCACAAAATGGCTTTAGGCCATGATAAGACAAGATCCTTTGTTGATAACAGAGACTAGCTCACTGTGTGCAAGGACCATTGCATCATTCTGTATTGCATTTGCTAAGTAACCTGGATTAATACGTGGTATAAATAAAAGTACTGCGGGTGCACTCCCAGTAGAAAAGTTTGAACAAATCAAACAAATTTCCTTAGTCAACTGGGCACTGTAATTTTTAGCAAGCCTTTCTCAAACAGGAATAAATTGTGAACAATTGTGAATTTGTTGTGCGCTATTTTGATCCATGGATTAATAAACAACTTGTACACTTCAGAGTTTTTACAGTAACACTTTAGAAGTGTGAATTCATTGTTGGTTTTGGTCTTCCACAGGATTTTTTTGACAGAAATAAAAATATAGAATAACACCAGCTGTATCTTTTGTAGAAAATGATGTGGGGGTATTCTGAATATAGCTATGGTATAGCATAGGAAAACTACTATGAGAAGCTACTAGGTTTCCTCCAGGATCTGTTAGCTGTTTTCTTTTGTTTTGATTAAGAAATATTACCACATTGAGCAGTATTAAGCCAAACAGACACTATATGGCTTCGGCCTGATTCAGGACCCGATTCAGTCGCCCCCAGCTACTTTTAGAGTCAGGCTAAATTTCGGCCTCACCAGTTGTCATACAGTGAGAGGGGCCTGCCACCCAATTAATCACCGGAATGACCAACCATCTAGCTTCCGACAACTCGGGTGGATTTCCGGCATGTCAGAAATCTGGCCATAGACTCTATTAGTGTTTTTGAATGTCAGTAATCGAGGGAACACCACAATGTGTCATCAAAGTGGCGTTATGACCGGCAGCAACAGAAAAAGTACTGACGGCAGATTACAGCTGTTCATCAGCTGTACAGAGTAAAATTGCTAACAGTAATGGTGTTTTTCTTTATTGGAGTTGTCAATGAACACACCAGCTCTGGGGTTCTGTTTAAATGTCCAGTGTGAGCACTCATGTCATTCCCAACTGAGTGAATGTACAGTGTGAGCAGTGAAGCTGCGGATTCTGGCCTCGCAGGAGGGCCGAAGAAAACACATAGTGTGAGTTAACACATGATAGACAATCAGTAAAAGTCACACAGTGTCTGCTTGGCTTTAGAAAGTATTATCTAAAACAACTCACCACTAAAATGTGAGCTGTAGGTGGAAGGCATGCACAATCAGAAACTGAGTTATTGAAATTACAATTGGCAGGGGCGCTTGGAAAGCATCCTGTACGATCAGGGCCTTATTTGGTATTCCAGATTGAAAACCAAGAGCTGGCAGGAGAAGAAGGACGAAACAAGGAAACAGAGGTGGCTGTTTATAGAACTATTTAGAACAGTAGTTATAGTTTGGGACTTACCCTGGCACCCTTCTCTGGGAAGCATTGACAGCCTCCGCTGCAGTCTCTTCCTCCACAGGGGCCACTGTGCTTCTTCACACCCTGTTGGGCACAGAACAGACAATGTTATGGTTAGAGCTGGGCTATCAAAGCCAGAGCTTTGCTGTCAACTATACAGGAAATTAACATTTTGCTGCCCATATCTTTTCATCAAAGATATGAGGGATGTGTACCCATGAGTTGCGGCTAGTGTTCATCTTTGTGCCTTACAGTGGACACAGAGTGATGTACTGTAGGTGTGGCAGGCCGTGTTTGTGAACACTGTGGTTTGTGAGCATACTTTTTGTTTATGCCTGCAGCTCTGTTACATGAGTGTAGACGGTTGTCGTGGTACTGTCAACGCAGTTGTTGTATAGTTGTCTGGTGTGCAGATAGGAAGTTTTGAATGACTCATAACAGACATCAAGACATAACAGATAAACGATTTGTCCATGACAATCCTATTCACCACAGAGGGTGGGTTCAGCCACTGACGGGGACAATACGTCTTTGGACTGTCTGCATACCATCAAAACCACTTATCATCACAGGCTGATCTGTGACATGACACAAACACACACCCAGCTTAAGGGGTCAGTGTGGACACGACATGATCAAAGAACGCAGTCACACAAATGGGATTTCCTAACTCACAGGTCAGAGGTGTCAGGACCCTAAGCTGGCTGAGAAAGCTGGACACACTAATTAAGACAGAATGGAGTCTGGAGGATATTTGCGTTTGTGTTTTTCGAATGAAAATCACATGCACAATCTCAGTCGAACCTACTCCCTTTGGAACCAAATTTCTTACTTTTCAGAAACAGAAGCACAACAGTTTGATGCCTCAACAAAACTGCAGATTCAACCTAACACGTTAAGAGCCACACCTTCACCGTCAATGCTACAAAACAGACACACATCAAGACGTTACCTCAAATCCACTGTTAAAATTAACTAATCACTGATCTAAATATTCTTTTTGTAGATCTGTGGGTTAATAAGTAACTGTTGAAACTTTTCAGCACTGTTTCTATTTAAATGCCTGAATGGAAACAAAGGTTTTTAATTGTTCCGTTGAACTTTTCCTGCAGTGCCTGAGAGTGAATACTAATAAAACACATACATAGGTAAAGAATTCAGCTCCAAGTTTCCAAAGCTTAGGTAGTTAGTAACAAAGGCTCTTCGTGGCCATTCTATTAGCATACATGAGTAAAACACTGGCTACAGACATGCAGAGACATGTGGCTGGTTACAACGTCTGTGTCCTATGTAGGCCTACATCTTCCACCTACACAAGCCATACCATTGTCTGCTTAGGCAGCAAATGCCTCAGTTACCTCCACACTC